AAATATTTATAAATTAAATCTTATATGATTTATATCATTAAATTATTGTTTTCATTAAGATTTTCATTTTTATTGTTATTATATTATTTCTTATATATCTATTATACATGTTTACTATAAATAATGTGTATTAAGTATGTAAGTACATTTAATGTTTAAAATGTTATGTTTTATCACGTTTAATAGTACACTTGTTTGAAAGGTGTTATACATAAGAAGTGTAAGTTACTATTGTAATTTTAATTTTATTCTTTATTGAAGTTTCTCATTTTAATAACTATCAGTAACAACTGTACTGTACTGTTATAGCATACAACAATTAAAGGTACAATCTTTTTTATCATACAGATTGGGTATTTTATATTTACTTATTTTATTTTATACTTAGGTATTTTCAAAACATATTTATTTACAGTTTAAAGGATAATTTTAAGTATTTTGTAAATATTAATAAAATATACTATTTTTGAAAGAAGTATTTATTACACATAAGTGATTATAATGTAATACATGCTGTATACCTTCCAAATAAAAGTATAGATGAAATCAGACTCATTAAATTTTGTTCTTAATCTAACGGCATTCCATCATCATCATTTTTCTTATCAGGACTAGCTGTTGGTGAAGCTTGTTTTGTATTAGTATCCTCTTGTCCTTGTTGTGTTTGTTCTTGGCCAGTCTTAGCTTCAGACTCAAGAGCAGTGACGAATTCTTCGATATTTCCACTGGCTGCAGCATTGACGGCATCCGGTCCCAAGCCAAATTGTTGGATGACAGGTCCCGCCTGGCCTGACTGCAAAGCAGACCAGAACATTGATAGCGCCTGGGAGAACTGGGGAGACAATAGCGTGGTACACAGTTGATCCCCTGGTGGTAAGTGCGGGCTCATTTCACGCTCCAGGCTTTCCGAAGCAGAGATCGCCGTTCGGATGGCATTGGTCAACTCGGTTGCTACGCCCCTCTGCCGGACAATAAGCTGTGCTGTAGGTGGCCGAAAACAACAAATAATCCCAGAGGAACTTCCCCAACTGCTCAGCAGAACTAGAGTCTCGGACAGCCAGAAGAAGTTAATGTGGAAAAATGTATTAAATAACGATAAAATTCAAGCCTTTGTCCATGGGTTTTGTAATATTACTTCAATAATGTATATTATTATATATCTAAAGATAATACCATATAGATTTAGGGACATAAAACAAATTTACAAAATATTACAAGATTATACTTTAAAATTTAATATTTTTAAAACTATTAATATATAAAATGAAAAATAATGAACTAAATTAGAAAATTGTATAAACTGTAATTAAACAAATATAAATTTAATACAAATTTTGTAATGTAGATAATGATAACATATATTATTTACTGTAACAAACTGATGTAGACAATC